GAAATTTTATTTTTTTAATTTAATTATTATTTCTTCTTTGATTTTATATTTTTCAATGAGTACAAGCCAAAAATTGTGATATTTTAACATTTAAACTACAGATGGTCCCCAACTTATTATGATTCTACTTTACAATGACACAAAAGCCCTGTGCATTTAGTAGAAGCTGTACTTTGAATGTTGAATTTTGGTCTTTTCCCAGGCTAGTGATACCAGTATGACACTCTCTCGAGATGCTGGGCAGTAGCAACAAGCTGTAGCTCCTGGTCAGCCACGTGGTCATGAGGGTAACGAGTGTTACTCTATGGTGTACTGTGTTGCCAAATGAGTTTGCCCAGCCATAACTGTTCTAAGCATGTTTTAGGTAGGCTAGGCTAAGCTATGATGTTCAGTAGGTTAGGCATATTAAATGCCAAAAAAAAAAAAAAAGAAGAAATGAAACAAAGTCATATTAAATGCATTTTTTGTTTAGGATATTTTCAACTAACGATGTGTTTATTGGGATATATCCCCATCATATGTTAAGGAACATAAATCTAACTTCATTCAATTTTAATAATTTTTTTTAGGATGACATTGTCTGCCCTCAGTTATTTAATTTCAAATGAATTTTCATTAAAAGCAGCTTAACCTGACTTAAATTATAATGAACACTGTCATATACCTGTAATATCTTGTATACTTTTACAATTTTACATTTTGATGTGACAAAGCCATTTAATTTTCAAATTTCTCCCTTAGATTGGCCGTTTATTAGGTTGTTCCAGAGTGGTGGGAATTTGTGGAACACGTGAGAAATGCATCCTTTTGACCTCAGAACTGGGCTTTGATGCTGCAATTAATTATAAAAAAGAGAATGTGGCAGAACAGCTCCGTGAATCATGCCCAGCTGGAGTGGATGTTTATTTTGACAATGTCGGCGGTGACATCAGTGATACAGTGATAAGTCAGGTTGTTTGCTGATTTCTATTACAAATTTGAATACTGCATTTTATATGTTATGATATATTTTTACCTAATACTGAAAAAAAATTTATAAAATCGGAGGGATTATTGTGACATAATGTGATGATCAGTATTATATTTAAGTGATACAAAGGAGCTTACTGGTATCTACTTCCATTCACTTGCAGATTTGTACTATGAACTTCAATTTCAGTTATTTGCTACCAATATTGTATTTTTCACTTTTGGTTTATTTTTGTGAAAAATTACATTTGCATTGTTGAAATGGTGAAGTTCTGACCCCTAACTCACCACTGACCAACTCACAGCCATGGCCCCAGACCTTGTATAGAGAATGGGTTTCATAGACTGCATGTATTTATGTATATTTACTAACAATATTATAAAATATCAACATGAGGTATTAACATTACATAGTCCTTTGCTGCATGTAAAATTATTTACAGTTGATAATAAATTATTTAAATCTAAAAAAATACAGTTCTACCACTAATAAGGAGCAACAACTAATGTAATTCTTTTGCTGATTACCAAACATTTATTTGCCTCTATGTTCCTTTGGAATGTAATTATTTCAAACTACTTAAAATTCTTAAATACCTCTAACAGGTAAATCTTAAAAAAAAATTGAATTAGTTGACAAAAAAGGATGAATAGTCAAGGAGGCTTTCATTGTGGCAGCTATAAAATCAGTACACATACGAAAGGGATATTTTATCATCAGTTTTCTCCGTGCAGATGAATAAGAACAGCCACGTCATCCTGTGTGGTCAGATTTCTCAGTACAACAAAGATGTGCCTTATCCTCCCCCGCTATCCACTGCTATAGAGGCAATCCAGAAAGAAAGAAACATCACAAGGTGTGTTCTTCCCCTTTGCCCTTATTACCAGGTTCAAGGGGGTTTAAATATCATAGATGTGTATGAAATCTATTGTTCTTCATAGATACTTTTTCTTTATTAAATAAAACTTTAGGCTGGGTGAGGTGGCTCATGCCTATAATCCCAGCACTTTGGGAGGTCGATGAGGGTGGATCACCTGAGATCAGGAGTTCCAGATCAGCCTGGACAGTATGGTGAAATCCTGTCTCTACTAAAAATACAAAAATTACCCGGGCGTGGTAGTGCGTGCCTGTAGTCCCAGCTACTCAGGAAGCTGAGGCAGAAGAATTGCTTGAACCCAGGAGGTGGAGGTTGCAGTGAGCCAAGATCATGCCACTGCACTCCAGCCTGGGCAACAGAGCAAGATTCTTTCTCAAAAAAAAAAAAAAAAAGGGAACCTGTATCTGACCAGACTCAATGTGATTAAGTCCTTATACAGCTAGTGCTCAACTTACGACCACGATTGGTTCCGACAGACCGGTCGTAACACGATTTGGTCGTAAGTTGAGCAGAGATGGTAGTGCTGCCAGAAGCTGGTCCGCACTGTCGTACGCCCAGCTGGGCAACGTTTGCGCTGCCAGACGCGGAGCAGTCGTGGCTAGCGATTGTGGTCGTAAAGTCAAATGGTTGTAAGTTGCATAGGTTGTAAGTCGATCAATACCTGTATTTTAAGGATTAACAGATAGTAGAATTCTGGAATGATTTGATCTTGGAATACCACTCCTGTTATATTCTCTAATCATTATCCTTTTCCTCCTCATTGCAGGGAAAGATTTCTGTTGTTAAATTATAAAGACAAATTTGAGCCTGGCATTCTACAGCTGAGTCAGTGGTTTAAAGAAGGAAAGCTAAAGGTAGAACTTCTATTATTTATCAATATAATTCTTCCTGTTACTTGATATAATTTGGCGTGTTAAATGTACTATAGCAAACATATTAGTTTTATTATAAAACTTCCTACAAAAGTATACTGAATATTACAAATTAACTCTACCTCCCATGTGAGTATAGCCTCCTGATTAAGAAACTCTTGCTTATTATTCCCTTGAGCTAAAATTTTCTAGCCTTACTTTCCATAGATTATATTACAGAATCAATAGGTTTTCACCCAAATGTAAAATTGTTATGTTTATTAATTTAACAAATATTTATGGGATGTTACTCTGTGTTAGAACTGTGCTTTCTCAGGAATCATGTAAGCACCTCCCAATGCTTATACCATCATACTTTTTCCCTGGACATTCTAATATATCTCTTAATTGTTGATTGAAAATCAGGAGTTATTAATCTGGGGTTCAGACATACTGGTCTTGGCTATTTTTTTTTTGAGACAGAGTCTTGCTGTCTCACCCAGGCTGGAGTGCAGTGGTACAATCTCAGCTCACTGCAATCTCCACCTCCTGGGTTCAAGCGATTCTCCTGCCTCAGCCTGCTGAGTAGCTGAAAATACAGGCATGTGCCACTCGCTCAGCTAATTTTTGTATTTTTAGTAGCGATGGGGTTTCACCATGTTGGCCAGGCTGGTCTTGAACTCCTGACCTCAAGTGATCCACCCACCTCAGCCTCCCAAAGTGCTGGGATTACAGCCATGAGTCACTGCACCCACACTGGCCTAGGCTATTCTTGAAACCTGCAAATGATAGGCAAGGTTGTACCTTTGTGTGCTTCTGTACTTTTCTTTCTTTTTTTAAAGACAGTGTATAGCTTGTGATCTGTTACTAATTAAGGAGAGTATAATAATGGGAAAATAGGATATTACTTTTAAAAAAATCAATCGATAGGAAACTTTTCTGGGCCATCTACATGAAATAAAGAATATCTATTTTTAGACAGAAAGTGCTAAATAGTATTGCTGACTTTTTTAAGTATGGAAACTTATAGAAACACTGAAGTTCAAAGGCTATTAAATCTAGCTATTTTGATTTACAGATTAAAGAGACGGTAATAAATGGATTGGAAAACATGGGAGGTAAGATGAATGTAACTTATTTATTATATTCATGTGTTCAGCAGATAAAGTCTTTTTTTTAATTTTTGTCTATTTTAATTTTTTTTTTTTGAGATGGAGTCTTATGTCACCCAGGCTGGAGTGCAACGGTGCGCTTTTGGCTCACAGCAACCTCTGCTTCCTGGGTTCAAGCAATTCTCCTGCCTCAGCCTCCCAAGTAGCTGGGATTACAGGTGCGCACCACCACACCCGGCTAATTTTTGTATTTTTAAGTAGAGACGGGTTTCACCATGTTGGTTAGGCTGGTCTCAAACCCCTGACCCCATGATCCACCCACCTCAGCCTCCCAAAGTGCTGGGATTACAGGCATGAGCCACCTCGCCTGCTAAAGTCTTTTATCTTTTTTATTTTGAGACGGAGTCTTGGTCTGTCTTCCAGGCTGGAGTGCAGTGGTGTAATCTTGGCACACTGCAACCTTCACCTCCCAAGATCAATTGATTCTCCTGCCTCAGCCTCCCAAATAGCTGGGATTACAGTGCCTGGTTTATTTTTGTATTTTTAGTAGAGATGGGGTTTCACCATATTGGCCAGGCAGTTTGAACTCCTGAACTCAAGTAATTTGCCTGCCTCAGCCTCTCAAAAGTGCTAGGATTACAGGCATGAGCCACCGGGCCTGGCCAAAGTCCTTTATCTTTTAATACTACCTCTCTGGTGTTTTCTCGTTTTTCTTTTCTTTTCTTTCTTTTTTTTTTTTTTTTTAAAAGAAATAGTCTCGTTTCGCTGCCCAGCCTGGAGGGCAGTGGCATGATCATAGCTGACTGTAACTTATGAACCCCTGGTATCAAGCAATCCTCTCACCAAAGTAGCTAGGACTATGGGACTACAATTATCTGCCACCATGCCCAGCTTTTTTTTTTTTTTTTTTTTAATTTTCCATAGAAACCTCATCTCTACTAAAAATACAAAAAAATTAGCTGGGCGTGGTGGCATGCACCTATAGTCCCAGCTACTGGGGAGGCTGAGGCAGGAGAATCACTTGAACCTGGGAGGCAGAGGTTGCAGTGAGCCAAGATTGCGCCACTGCACTCTAGCCTGGTGACAGAGTGAGACTCCGTCTCAAAAACAGGACAAAAAAAAAAACAACAAGTTCTCATTATTGCCCAGGGAACTCCTGGCCTAAAGTGATCCTCCTGCCTCGGCCTCCCAAAATGCTGGAATTTACAGGTGTGAGTGCCTGGCCATTTTTTTTTATTTTTGAGACAGGGTCATGCTTTGTCACCCGGGCTAGAGTGCTGTAGTGCAATCATGGCTCACTGCAGCCTCTACCTCCCAGGCTCAGGCGATGCTCCCACCTCAGCTCCCCAAGACGCTGGGACTACAGGCACACACCACCAATCCTGGCTGATTTTTGTATTTTTATTAGAGATGGGGTTTCACCATATGGGCCAGGTTGGTCACAAACTCCTGACCTCAAGTATCTGCCCACTTTGGCTTCCCAAAGTGCTGCGATTACAGTTAGGAGGCACCATGCTTGCCCTTCACTGACCTGTTATTCCCATATTTTTTTTTGGCTCTAGTCTTCAGACACTGTAAAGAATGATCATTGATGTACATACCAATTAGATACCAATTAAATATTTCCAGTATGGGCAAAAGTTCTTTGAGATGTTAATTGGGTTAGTTTGTGTATAACTTTTTACTTAAGATTTCTTTTCATGACAGTTTTCTTCTGTGATAAATATTCAAAATAATTGAAGAAGTTACTGAAACTAATTGTATGTGTTGTACCTTCTGGAAACAAGTGTGATAGTGACATTTATCTTTTCAGATAACCTACTTTCTCTTTTTCCAGCTGCATTCCAGTCCATGATGACAGGAGGTAACATTGGAAAGCAGATAGTTTGCATTTCAGAGGAAATCTCTTTGTAATCACTGCAAATGTCATCAAGGCAATCACAGATTTCTTTTCCATTTTGCGTATTTTCAAAGATACCTTAAAAAATCCTTAGGACATACATAGCCCTTGATTTAAATGTGATCATAGGTGTTATTTTTAGTGGCCACAGGGGATTCGATATACTCATTAATGAATCATACATGTTTTTAAAAATTAATAACTTTTTAAAAAATAGAATGCTTGAGAGGTACTTAGTAAAGATTTGTTAAACTAGAAACGTTTTACATGATCTGATACAACCATTAATGACTCTTACACAATGTTTTTTAAAATTCATGTTTAGTAATAACTTTTATTAAAATAGATTGCTTTAAAAAATAGAATGAGAATGCTTGAGAAGCACTTAGTAAAGATTTGTTGAACTAGAAATGTTTTACATGATTCTTAAATTGAAACTTGGTGTAAGAATAGAATTGAGATGGCCTTTTCTTCACATTGTAGACAGAAAAGGCTTAACAGTATGACGTGTACGTAGGGACTGGGAGCAGGACTGGGGGTTTCAGAGCTTGTGGAAGTTTTGGGGATAGGAGACCAGCAGCTTGGGGCTGAGAGTAGTATGGGAAGATAAATAACTGAGGTTGATAGATTTACTCCAGAGGATGATCTCTTTGTATTTTGCCAAATAATTTATAGCCTAAAAACTCAATATATATTGAGAAAAGTGTTTGTTTATTTTATGTTAGCAGGCACATACTGTCAAATAGTTGTAAAGATTGAGAGCACAAATAGATGTAAATATCACTTGGAGTTTTAGGTGATTAAAAAGATTGATGGCAGGGTGCAATGGCTCATGCTTCAAATCCTAGCACTTTGGGAGGCAGAGGCAGGTGGAGTTCGAGACCAGCCTGGCCAACATGGTGAAACCCTGTCTCTAAAAATACAAAAATTAGCTGGGCGTGGTGGTGGGTGCCTGTAATCCCAGCTACTCAGGAGGCTAGGGCTGGAGAATCGTTTGAACCTGGGAGGCGGAGGTTGCAGTGAGATGAGATTGGGCCATTGCACTCCAGACTGGACAACAAGAGTGAAACTCCGTCTCAAAAAACAAAAACAGATTGACAACAAAGCTTCAGAAAATGACAGGACTGGGCAAATTAACAAATGTTTGTAAACACGAATGTTTAGAACCTACTGATGTACCTCAGTAAGAGTTTATTAATTGTAATCAATCCTCGCAGAACAGTAAAACTGAAGATTTTTTCTGAATGTTTTGGCTTATGATTGTCTACACCCTGCCAATATAATTTTGTATGCAACATTTGTAATAAGTAGATTCAAATTGTGTTGGTAATCAGCTTCTCCAGTTTACTTGAGTGGCCTTGTTAACTTTTCCTGGACCATTTCATATCCTGAGGGGGTTTCATCTTTTCTCTGTATGTTAACTAACTCCCAAATCTCCATCTGTATTTCTGACCTGTTTCTTGAGCACTGGACCTTCACCTGCAACCTCCAAGTAAATATCCTCAACTCTGGATTGGCACCTTACAGAGTGCTTTTTTGTTTTTGAGAGGGTCTCGCTCTGTCGCCCAGGCTGGAGTGCAGTGGTGCGATCTCAGCTCACTGGAACCTCCGTTTCCCCGGTTTAAGCGATTCTCCTGCCTCAGCCTCCCAGGTCGCTAGGATTACAAGCGCGTGCTACCAGGCCTGGCTAAATTTTTTGTATTTTTAGATCGTGCCACCACGCCTGGCTAAATTTTTTGCATTTTTAGTAGAGACGGGGTTTCACCGTCTTAGCCAGGATGGTCCCCAACCTCAAGTGATCCGCCCGCCTCGGCCTCCCAAAGTGCTGGGATTACAGGCGTGAGCCACCGCGCCTAGCCTACTCTGCTTTTCTAAAGACGAATTATCTTCCTCGGAAACATTTCTCCTTTATTTTAAATCACCATTAGTAATTTGTGCACCCAAACTTGTCATCAAGGCTTATCTTTAACCTTGAAAATGATTTTTTTGAGACGCAGTTCCGCTCTTGTTGCCCAGGCTGGAGTGCCATGGTGTGATCTCGGCTCACCGCAACCTCCGCCTCTCGGGTTCAAGCGATTCTCCTGCTTCAGCCTCCCGAGTAGCTGGGATTACAGGCATGTGCCACCACGCCCGGCTAGAAATGCTTTTTTAAAGAGAACTCCTTTAATTCCCACGGCTGCAACGTTAGTTGAGTCTCTCATTCTTCGCACGCAAATATTTAAATCTAAGTAATTTAAAGAAGTCAGTCAAACTCATAAAGCTTTAACAAGCAGTGGCTTCCAGCCTGGAAGCCAACTGTTCAAGCCCCTAATTGGGACATCCAGGAGCTCTTTACACCCTAATTACAACTCGGAACCCAGACTCACTGCATATCCCGTCCCGTATATAATGCAAAACTTGATTCTGCAAGTTCCTTTCTCGGGCGGTGAAACTTCGAGGTCCTCTCCATGGAGACCTCTGATAAATGCTTAAGTAGTGATCTTTTCTTTCTCGTTTGCATCCATTGCAACGCCTCCGCTGATGGGAAAAACTACTCCCTCCGCTACTGCGGGGAGGGAGTGACGTCACAGAATTAGCTGACCTGTTTTTTCGGGCTTCGGGGACCTAGAAGCCCCGAAGGCCGAGAGTGAATGAGTGGGATGGGGGAGGCTGAGGCTCCTCCTGTCAGGGGCTGAGCCCTGCATCGTGGGCCTGGGCAGGGAGCAGCCTTGACGTCCGGGCCCGGAGCGGTGCGGCTGCCAGCCGACCCTGCGGCGAGAGAGTGGGTGTGTGCGTGGGGAGTCGGCCAAACTTCCTGTCCCGCGCTCGAGCTGCTTCCGGCGGGAGCCGGAAGACGCTGTGTGTGGACGGAATTCGGGACCGACTGACGGCCTGCCGGCTGCCCGGAACTAGAAGGTGAGCTCCGAGGTGGGCCCGGCCACACCTGCTCCGCTAGGTAGTACCGTTGAGGGCGGGAGCCAGTACCGGCTACTTGGGGGCTGGGGCCGCGTTCGCCCCGGGAGAAGATGGGGAAATCGCCGCCTTTGGGCATCCTTCCCGGATCTGGCGGGCTCGGGAACGGCTAGTCTGAAGCCCTGCGGCTTCGGCCCTTCCCTTCGCGGGTTTTTAGGGGCGATGTTCCAGCTCCTTTGCTTGGTTTTGGGGGCAGGGACATGGGAACAGTCTGTCCTGAGAAAGCCGGAGTCAGCGAGTCCCCGGGGCGGGGACTCTCGGACTACACCCGCAGTCGGGGCCTGCCTACGGACCTTGGGGCCTTATTACTAAGGCCTTTGTGGTTGGGGGTAGAGGATGCCAGGAGGCCCTCCCCTGAATGTTTCAGTCCAGAGCTATTCTCTCCTTTCATACCACACTTACTTCTGGGTCTGGAAGAGGGACAGCTGCCTACTTGGCTGGGCTGGGCTGGGCTGCTGGTTTCTCCTTTGCCTGTCAATTGGGGGAGTAGGGGAGAGAGTGCGGGTTGTGAGTGTTTACAGCCTTTATGCATTTCGCGTCAAATTTATCTTCGGAAGTTTCTCAAGATAATCCAGTTTATTAAAAGTTAATCCCACTTGCTCATGAGGCTTGGAAATGCATTTAGGCACCATTTGGAAGTTAAATATTGTTAACTTGGGACTTAAGAATTAGTACTTAGGTTGGCACAAAGGTCAACGCAGCATATTTGCAAGAAATAAAAGAAACATTGGGAAATAAAGTCGGGCATTTTGTTAGGAAGTGAGAAATTGCACTTTGTGTTATCTTAGTGTGGTGCAGAGTAAAAGACAACTAAAGTAGCAGTCAGAAGTTAGGTTGTAGTTTTTTACGTTTTGCATCTAAATAGATGTCTAATTTTTGGCAAGTTACTTAATCTCTAACTCTGGGGAGTTTTTCTGTATAAACGAAGGGGATTACCCTTAGGGTTATGATAATTATTCTGAGGCACTGAACTTTGAATAGGAATGACAAGCATTTCTGTTTTAGAAAGGGGAGTTTTAAAGGCGGGTGACCAGTTAGAAGTCAGTTTTAATAGTGTAGTAGGAAGTTATTGAGAAACCCAAACAGGGCATTACATAGGGAATAGAGAATCACGAGAATTATTTTAAAATGGAGAATGAGAGAGATTTAAAGACCTAGAATTTGCAACTGAGTGGGAGGAAGATTGGGCGATCATTGAAACAGATAATACAAGAAGAAGAACAGGTTTGGTAAGATAATAATCTGGATTTTGGACATTGTTAGGTTTGAGATGCTGTTGGATATACATGTGGAGATACCTAGCAAGCAGAAATGAAGGTTTGGAGTTCAGAAGAGAGGACTAGAGAAAAATGTAGTTATCATTTGTAGTGTCATTCACTCATTATACAAATATTTATTTAGTACCTACCAGGTGCTTACTGGGAAGCTTGTATGGAAGCCTTTAAGCTCATAGTAAACACATTAGAAGTGGGAAGTGACTGGTATTGGGCACAGGATTTCCTTGTGGGGTGATGAAATGTAAAATTGATCGTGGTTTTGGTTGCACAACCCTGAATAAACTAAAGATATTTTAATTGTACTCTTAAAATGGGTCAATAGTATGGTATGTGAATTATATCTTAGTGAAACTAATTTTTAAAAAAGATTTACATTGCAGTTTTGGAAATCTGTTGAGTAAGGAATTGGGAATAGGAATATTTAATTGCATATTTGCCCTTACACCTGTAGCTAATGTACATGGTACGTTGTTGCTGTGTTAAAGATGAGATCCCCACGATACACTTGGTAAGATACTGAGTGCTCTAGTACAGATTCTTTTGAATTCAGTTGTGTATCTTAATGCATCCTGCTATGTTCTATTTTATTCATATTGTACACATACAGATCATAAACTTGGGCACCAAAATTGTATGGCAGTTCTTAGTTATAATATGAATACCCACTTTGAGAAACTGCTTATATTAATTTTTAAAGATTACTGAAGCAAAAACCCTGAAATAAAAAGATGTCTTAGATATAAGGGACAGTAAATAGTTGTCTGGTTCCTTAGAGATTTTACAATCCTGGAATCTCAAAGTTGGAGAAACCTTAAGAATGACTTAAACAACAAACATATGGTAATTTCTTGGCTTGTTAAGACAAACTGGAATTGGGGAAGAGGAATTCTTGTTTTTTTTTGAGAGTCTCCCTTTGTTACCCAAGCTGCAGTACGGTGGCACGATTGCTGCTCAGTGCAGCCTCGATCTCCTGGGCTAAAGCGATCCTCCTACTCAGCCTCCCGAGTAGCTAGGACCACAGGCATGTGCCACCATGAGAAGCTAATTGGAAATTTTTTGTTATTGTTGAAATAGGGTCTCACTGTGTTACCTAGTTTGGGAAGAGGAATTCTTAAGCCATGGAGATTCAAGATCAAACCTAGACTATATAGTAATCACTATTCAAGCCAGTGATTCCTGTGTACCTGCTCTGTGGGTGGGAGTCCTGGCTTTGCAACTTAATAACTTAGTAATTAAGTAATATACTGAGCCTTGGTTCCTTCCTCACTAAGTAAAGGGATGGATAAATCATATGAAGCTGTTGCAGTGCTTGAATAAGAAAAATGTGTGTGGAAGGAAAAGTCAGGGATTTATGATACTTCATGTGGGAAACTTGAAAGGAGCATTTCCATTTATATCTTGTAAATGGTTACTTCTTTACAATGAAAAATGAGGATTTCAGGCAGCTAGAAGGAGAGAGGGAGGAACC